TTTTGTTGAAATATCTTTTTTTTCCATTTAGTACTGCCCTTCGGAAGCAACAGAAGACACTTGCATGTTTCCCGGAAGACAATTTAAGTACAGTGGTATATATATATATATACCACATGCAGAAAGTTTCCTGTAAGAGGTAGGTTTAGGGGTATGGTGTAGGGCAATAGAAAATACGGTTTGTACAGTATAAAAACCATTACGCCTATGGAGAGTCCCCATAAACCATAAAAACAAACCTGTGTGTGTGTGTGTGTGTGTGTGTGCAGCTTTAGTGACTGGTTTCTTCACACAAAACTATGTTTTGTCCATTTTTATTATTTCCAAAGTGTTACATAGTTACATTTCAGTTGATTAAAGAGGCCTTTAACTGCAGTAAGACAAAAGGCATTTTATTTTAAGAAACTGAAAGAGAAGACATAACAATTAACGCTGTCTGCAGCAGTATCGGCTCAATTCTTACAGTGAGGTTAATAAAAATTGTCATCTGCCAGGAAACATTTTCACACACAACACAACAGGAATGTGCCACACTTTGTTCCAGCAAGCCAGTAGACACCCCCTCTGTCTAGCCAAGTCCCTGTGCTACAATGTTCAGACCATAGAGTTGTGGTCTTAATGTCAGCGATGTGACTGATTGGTTAGGATATTGGGGGCGGGGCTTGTGATAATCTCTCTCACTGCACTGGCAGAGCAGCATCAGGAGCATCAGCCACCAACACCTGTTCTGCACCAGCAGCAGCATCAGGCCCCACCAAAGCGGTGTCGATTTCCACAGCGACTGCTGGTACCTCAGGGATGAGAGACGGAACAACAGCAGCAATGACAGGTTCAACAGGAGCCTCTATGGCAACATCCACGGGTGCGATCTCGTTTACGGCAGTAGCATCAACAGTTGCAGCAGTTCCAGCAGGTTCAGGTTCGGCTCCAGCCTCAGCTGCTTCTGCTGCTTCTGCACCCTCTGCTTCTTCTGCCACTTCAGCCTCATCTGAGTTCAACGGAGCAGCCGGCTGGGCAGGCTGGTAGCCGTAGGGAGGGTAAAACCCACGAAACTGTGGCTATGGTAGATAGAAAAGTGGGACGGAACTCATAAAGTGCATAATGTTTAAAAATGTGTGTTTTGTATTTTGATAAGATGAAATAACCTACAACTCCTTCCTCATCTGATCCATCTCCTGTGGGTGCGAAAAGAGCGGGGTTGAAAAAAAAGCCCTTAAAAAAAAGTTTAAAGATCAGTGTCAATGTAACATACTGTACTTACTGTATTTCCAGATTCAAGCACACTCTTAAAAATAAAGGTTTGTAGCAATGCAAAGTAAAACGATTTTAGGTTCTCCAAGGAACTTTTCATTGAATGGTTCTTAAAAAGAACCTTTTTTCTTTGTGTCATTCAATATTTTAGCCTGAAGAACTTTTTTCCACTATAAAGAACTTTTTGTAGAATGGAAAGGTTCCATGGATGTTAAAGGTTCTTCATTGAATCATTGACACCAAACCTTTATTTTATTACCACTAATTTTTGCAAAAAGATTAGTAGCAAAGCCATGCTAAAAGCTATAGTGTTATCGACTACTCCTACAATTAAGAAAACTAAACAGCAATGTATATGTATGATTTATGTTGTACCCTAAATGATACTTCACATCATAAACAGATGCTGAAAAGAAACAAAAATCATTAAAAGAAAATGACTCAAAATATTGATAACATGCTGCTAATCTGCTGTGGTACAACATGGTATAACATGCCTTGACTGACACTGACCCAAAATAGCAATAGCATGTTGCTAGCCTGCTGTGATACAACCTGATATAACATGGTATAACCTGCCATTACTGAAATTGAGCCAAAATAGCAATAGCATGTTGCTAACCTGTTGTGGTGCTTGAGGTGAAACTTGAGGCTGGGCCTGTAAAAAGAACAAATATTTTCAAAAATGTTTTCAAAAGGTTATCGTTTCTCCTCAAAAACTCAAAAATGTGTATGATATGTGGTTTTGATAGAATGAGAGGGGTTTACATCAGCAGGTGCAGGTTCTGCGGGTGCTGCCTGTGAGGAACACAAAATGTCATCAGTTCCATGAAACAGGTTACTTCTGAGGCATGTTCACACAGTAAAGTCTTTAAATCACATAAAGTGGTCAAATTTGTAACATACAGGCAGTTGAGCACCAGTAGGAACAGCACCAAAACCCTGCAAAAACATTGATTACATTATGTTGTTATTATTATTAAACGCCTCTAATGTAGGCCTATGTCTTTAGCGCCATTGAACTGACCTGTTGCTGCAGATGTCCTAACATTCTGTAGAGTTCCATCAACTGCAGAGCTGTGTTAGCATGACCAATAATTGCCTGCTGCAGGAGAGAAAAGACAAATGTTATACAAAATTTTAGGCCTTATATTAACATCCATTTTCATCGACTCACAGAGGTCTTACCTCATTGCTGCCACTGTCAGGGGCCTAAAATGTGCAAAGCAAGAGGAAAATGTCAAAATGAAACTTAGACTTTGTTATGCTGTCTTGAACTGAGAAACGAGGACTTACAGGGGCAGCTAGTGAAGAGCCCAGCAAACACATCAAGAACGCCAGCACTTTCATGTTTGCTCTTATGATCCAAAAAGAAAAACAAACAAAACTTGAAACATTAAATGCTGTCAGTTCATTTTTGAAAATAAAGGTTCTTCACTGGCATTCATGGTTCCATGAAGAATCTTTAATATCAGTGGAACCTTTCCATTCTACAAAAAGTTCTTTATAGTGGAAAAACATTCTTTAGATTATTAAAATGATCTTTATATTAAGTAAAATAGTTATTTTCAGAACAGTTCTTTCAAAGGTTCTTCAGAGAATCCAGAATGGTTTGTTAATGGCATTGCTTTATAATCATCATACTTTTCCGAACCTCTATTTTTAAGAGTGTAACATATCCATGAGTTATAACACTCTAGAAATGGTAAGAGCTTACCTCTTTTTGAAAATCACAAGGACAACTGGCTGGCTTCTTGGAGTTTAAAGTTGAATGCATAACTACTGAACAAGGCTGCTATATATACTTAACAGATCATGAAACAAGCCAATCATCTCTCAGCAAAGAGGGAAATCTATTTTTTGCCTTTATTCTTAAAACAAGGTTGGAATTACAACTGTTAATGACTCCTTATGTATAATTATACACTGTGAAATTCTGCTTGGTGCACAGTTCTTCAAAAAGAGAGATGAAAAATGAAATTATCTATCCGATCCTCTAGACAGGAGGGTTGTCTGTCTGTGGTGTTTGACGGTGAAGTTTGGATATATATGACTTTCAAGGGGCCCCTTTTCGCATGAGAGTGGGACTTGTGGGCGCCTGCCAAATTGATCGATCTAATTAACACAGATCTTCACAATAAAGCTCATATTACAAATTCTTCTGAACTCTTAATTACAGACTTAATGCACAATTTCTTGCTGATTCATTTGGAGATACAGTAGGTATAAATCTTTTGGCTCCTAATTGTTGTGACCACACTGACAGCTTCTTTAGTGCTGTTGCCATCTGTGTTTTTTTACACTGTTTTCTTACTCTGTGGTTTGGAGCATTAAAAGGATTGAAATGCCTTATGCTTTAGGGAATCCACATCCAGGATGTCTTCCGTCTGATAATGTATGAACATAAAAGGTTTATAGATATCCATTTGCTGAAAAGATTCAGGCACATATACTCTTGCTCCCCTTCAGTCATTTTTCATTCATTCATTCATTGGTAGTTGTTTTTCTAGTTGTTCAATACAATATAGTTATATGTTTAAAGATATAAGATATAAGCTATAGCCTATATATATATATATATATAAAGGGCTACAATACAATACAATATATCGCGAGTGTGGGTGCTGCTACTCTCGCTTACAATACTAATACACTAGTCACTGTTACTTGCTTTAATGGCGGATGTGTGTCTACCTTTGAGTGCAGGTGAGGACACGTTCTCTGAATGCAGCTCGCTGAAAAATGAGTGTTTACTATTGTCATTTTGCATTACTGACACACTATTTTCCTAATTAATGCTGTTCAGTTGCTTTGACACAATCTGTATTGTTAAAAGCGCTATATAAATAAAGGTGACTTGACTTGACTTGTAGAGTTGAGAATGAGCAAATATCATAAAAGAAGTAAATTGGCTGTTACTTCACATTTGAATATGTACACACATATATATATATATAAGAAATGGATTGATTGCTAACATACTGTAGATGTATTATTTTGTAAGTGCTTGTGTTTATTTTTGTATGCATGTAAAGAGACTATTAGAATTCCTGATGACCTGGCATTACTTGTAGAAACTGCAAAACTTTTCATAGTTTACTCGTTAAGTTCCCTGAATTTTGTTTGTATGAGTATATTAAATCATTCTCTAATACACACATCTTCAAGCTTTCTTGAGGTTGAACATGGCCTAACAAAGTGTTTGCTCTACTAAAGTTTTAACGAGCATGAATTTAATGATTCTGATCATGCTGTATCATGTTTATTATACTGCAGAATGTTCAAGGTGAAGGTGCATAATATTTCACTTTAACCTTGCAACAAAAATCTTTTTGTATTATTTTAATTGCATTTAAAACTGCATCTCCTGTTTTGTCACAGCTGGCACTAGGATAAAAAGTGCAGATAACATGTTCAAAAAGTTTTGTTTAATCAACTTTATTACTGAAACACTACTCACAAAAGGCCTACATTAGAAAATATTCATTGAAATTTGTTTGATATTCAGTTAAAGTATAATTTTTTCATATCAGAATAAGACCAAACCAGCACATTTCTATCTGTATACCATGCAATTACAGAACTTAAAAAATGTAGTTATACATATGGGTAAATCATCTTCTTCATGTTAAAAAATCAGCTCATTTTAAATTATTATTCCAGAAAAAAAAGTATGTACTAATTCTAAATAGCATTAGACAAAAAAGTTTAACACACTCTTGTTGTTTGACTTTTTTTCTCACTCAGCTTCAAAGATGTGCCTGTGGGCATAAGAAATTATATGTTAAACAAGCACGAAAGAGTGATTTCAAACAATGTCGAAAACAATATTAAGCAATACTGTGTTGCAATTCAAAATTAGGATGAATGAATCAAATTCAGATACACCTAAGCAGTATCTCACCGATCTTCATGGCTTGTTAGACACCTGAAAAAAAGTGAGGATAATTAACAAGTGTGTGGCACGCATAATCTGCTGTTTCTGCAAAACTGCTGCTGACATACGAAATTCGCAAGTTCTCATTTTGGTTAAACACATCCTGGCTAAATGCAGCACTGAAGGAGTAATTACGTTGTCAAATCAGAGCTTTGCTGCTGGCTGTGTTTTTAGCTTCTCACACATATTCATTCAAACCCCCCCCCCCGTCTGAGCCTGCTGCTCCAGCTGGGTTTGCTGCTGAGGCTCTTGGGTTTGTGGAGGACCATCCTGGAATGGTGGGTTCTGTGTAAAAAAATGCATTGAAAGCTCACCGTGTTTCAGGATTCAGTCTTTCAGTAAATTCCAATAACAGTGCAAGTGATTATGAAACCAAAGAAGTTCAAAGCGTACTTGTCTCACCACAGGTGGCTGCTGGGGAACTGTCTGTGGCATAAAATCGAAGGGGAAGATCTGTATATTCACAAACATATAAAGGATCACATTCAAACAAACATTCACAAACATGTTTTTTTTAAATAATAATGTTAAAATGTTGAAGTAATTCCAAAAATTTACATTTGGAATTTGAGGTATCAGGGGAACATTGGGTTGGTCCTGAAATCAAAACAACATCTACACTGTAAAAATGTGATTGTAAATAAAACAAGGGTATGTTTTACAAGAAAAGTTGTACTTTTTCTTTAACCTCATTCAAATTGGTTACAATATTACCATCAGCATTTTATACACATTCACATTTTCAAAGCAAATCCTACACCAACAAGTTTTTTTTAGTGTAGTCCTCGCAGAAAAACAATCGTTACCTGACGCTGACTGAAGTCATAGGGGTAAAACTTAAGGAGAAAAACAAAACCACCAATTATTTTATTGCATCACAAAATTATGTTTATCTCTGCAATTTAATGAGACATTTGCAGAGGCTAAAGCAACACTCTGCATCAGTGACTTTATACAGAGTGCACTTAAACATCTCTAGTCTTTGATGAATTTGTCTGTTCACTCACGATTTCCACGCTTTTTCTGCCGGGAAGTTTAGGGAGAGAGTATTTGATGAACGCGTGTGTAGGGAATGACTGAGAGAGAGAGAGAGAGAGAGAGAGAGAGAGAGAGAGAGAGAGAGAGCCGAGAGAGTGTAAAAAAG